ATGCCTGCTCTCGATGGAAACTACATATAAAAACCTTAATTCCTGTAAAGACATTTTCCAAACTTGTAATTTCTTCCATTGCAAAATCAACCATCCCATATTTTGGTCTAACGAGAGGCGACCAATTTTTAATAATTATAAGAGCTTCTTCTAATGCTTTGGCTGTTTCATTTTGTGTAATTATTATGCTCACTATTTGATAGTTCACATTTGTTTTGACAACTAAAAAATAAAGTGGGAGAGCATACTTACAGGTTCGATAGGTCGCGTCGAGAAGAACAAGATTAGAACCATATAAGACATATAAATTTTTCATTTCTTCACTTTGATATACAAATAGCAGATTTAGTTTTGAATCTGTAAAGTCATTTGGCTCAGTACCATCATATGTATTTTCAGTACATGGTCTAAAAAAAACAGAACACTTGGAAGTATCCCAGCTATTTATTAACATTTCTGTATTTTCCTGGTCAATTTTACTAGTTCTAATATCGGATTTTGCTTGGCTTATTATTTTCCTTATTGCCTCCATTTCTGGATAAAATCGTCTGCGCGTTTTATCAGTTTCTCCCAATTCAGTTGAAACGTATACTTCTAATAGCTCTGCAATTACAGTGGCATTGCATTTTCCATTCTTAACTTTAGAAGCTATGAAATGCCGCACTCTAGCATCTATAGGTTCTATTACTGCAGCCATGTTACCCATTAGATGATTTTGATGATCTTGGCTATTAGGTAAATTAAACATGAAAACTTCTTCACCAGCAATACTATCTTTATTGGCTAGTTTTTCCTTAATTTTCCGAGATATCATAATCTTTCTTTTTCGGGTTGGCACTACCTGTAATTTAAACATATTTATCACAGTAAAATTTAGAAATTCCAGCACAGTCATCTAAAACTAATTATTGATAAAGGTTCAATTTTAAAAACTTTCTGTTCATAGCAAATTATTCAAAAAAAAAAAAAAAAAAAAAAAAAAAAAAGGAGTCATTTCTTTCCTTTAAAAAAAGCTGTAAAAAGGATCTTCCATTTTTATAACAATAGATCAAATTACTTCTTCAAAGAAACATAACCAATAAAACTTCACTTTGAACAACTTATTTCTATTTGTAGCAAATTGGTTAGAATATAATTAGCATAAAAAGCCTTTATTTCTGGCCTGAAAACATCATTTTATTTGCATGTCAATTACTGAATTATTTATTTAGGAAAATATTACTGTTAAAAACCCTCTTTTGGCCAAAAAAAAAAAAAAAAAAAAAAAAAAAACTATTTAGAAAAATATGTTGAATAAAGAGACACAAAAAATCATTTCTCTTTTTTACATTGTGACTCTAAAAATACCTTTTGTTTTTATGTCAAAAAGTATGTATACTTTATCATAGAATACCTTCAATACATCTTGCTCATACGTGACAGAATTATATTTTTTCCTTAAAAAAAAATTCTCTAAAATTACTAAGACCATCTTAGAACAAAAAGTTAAATAAACTTCTACCTTGAACTGAGGCATCCTGTACATTCGGGTAACATTAATTACAGCTGGACAATTAACTTTTTTAGTTGTCTGGTTCTTGGAATATGCTTTACCAAAAGCATGATCAGTTTGACACTAAAAAAAAAAAAAAAAAAAAAAAAAAAAAAAAACACACACATATATATATATATATATAATATATTTATGTATATTAATTTAATGTATGTGCAATATTTTAAGAGGTTTTTGAATTTATTTATTTTAATTAAATGATATTATTTTGTGAATTTTATGTTTTTAAATTTGGTATACGTTTTAAAGTAAACATGGAAATTTAAAATATTTGATCAAATAAGTTTTGGAATGTTTGCTATGAATTCGTTTGATTTTTAACAAATTTTAGAGGTAAAAGTTTTATATTTTATCTTTTTAGTGGAAATTTCATATTTGGAAAGGGTTTACTTTTTCGTTATTAGGTAATTTCATTTGTTCTTTTTAACGGGTTTAAAGATTCAGATTTCATTTTTTCGTGATTTTTCTTTTATGATGTACTGGATATGGTCAATGCCATTTTTGTGCAATTCTGGGATTTTTTTTAAGTAAAAATAAGTTTACATGGTTTAGTGATATTTTCGTTTAAGTTGAAGTAAACCATGGAAATAATTTAAATCAAGTACACGTTTGAAATGTGGAAGAAACATCAGGTAATTTCATATATGTTCACCGTTTAAAGATTGAGGTCATGTAAAATTTTTCTGAGAAAAAAGCAGTTAGTTCACAATGTTTTCAAAAAAAAATTTAATGATTTGTGTAGTTTATCAAGGAGTATGGTATTGTGCAAATTTTGCATGAATAGATGATTAAGCAGTTTTGATTTTCTAGATAAGAAAGTAATTCAGTAGATCATGATTCGTGAAGGCAAAATTATTGCTGTATAAATTTTCGAAAAAATTGAAGTTAATAATTAAAGATCATATATATATAATCCAAGAGGTGATATTTTTGTATAAATTTTTAAATATAACAATGTTATTTTACCTTTTCATTTTTTTCTTTAGCATAATTTTCCTTTTGACATTTATTCAGATCTTTTCCTTGATGGCAAACATAGGTTTTTCGCCCAAAGTGGAAATAGGGAATATCATCTAACCAGTTTAATCGTAAATCTGGAGTTAGTTCAACTGGAAAGAAAATTTTGATTTAGATCACAATCTGATAAGCTTTGATTTTTAAAAGAAAGAAATTACAGATCTCTATAAACATATTATACATTTAACATACTGATAAAAGAAAGAAATTACAGATCTCTATAAACATATTATACATTTAACTGTCTCTATATATACTACATACTGTAGACACTGCTTAATGTATTGCAGCTGATGTCGTGTATATTGCTATTGAATTTCTAAGTTCTGCTCTTTCATATATGGAAACATAAAAAATGCATCATTTGCTGTAATTTTATTTGCTCAATTTGGTTAATATAATCAAAATATTATACAATAAATTTCTTAAACTGAAGAACGAAAATGATTTTAATCAAGCATTTAGAAAAAAGCGCAAAACAATAAAATAAAAAAAAAAAAAAACTTAATTTCATACGAATTTTCAATAGCTATTGATTTGGAAGGGCTTCAGCACAGTTCCCTCTTCTTCAAAAGGGAGGTAAAAATTCCTGAAAACATCTTTGCCAAAATACACTTGCGTTTTTGCCCAATTTCAGATTTTACATTGGCAAAATCTCTTTAAACAAGGATGCCCTCCAAGTATTAAGATTATAGGTATAGAATTGGTCCAATAAATTTCAGAAACATTATGGACTACTCAAATGAACTTTTGCAATGAAGACTGTAAACAATTGATAAACAAACTTTTATTTTTCCTAATTAAAATGTTAAGAAAGTGGCTAGTTATATTTATAGTTAATTCAATTCCTATTTTAAAAGATACTTTTCTCATCATCTTATATTATCAAAAATGGGCAAATGTAATCACATTAAGCAGCACCTACTGCAAACATAGAGAGATATTAAAAGCATTAAACTATTATGTAAAAAAATTATGTCATTTTGTCTCATATTAAAATTATATATGCTAGGTAAAGTATAGAATGAGCTAGCTGCCTTACGCAAAAGGGATGCCTTTGAGAAGGTCTAATGGGAAACTGTCTTGTATTCACTTATATATATAAGGAGAACAGGAAAATTCCCATGCAGCTAATCCATTCAACAGTATTTGTACCTTGATCAAACATCCAGTATTCAGCTATCTTATCTGCTAGTCCATTGGTGCTAAGAGTCAAAATAGACAGTAATGTGATTTTACACACAAGATAAGTAGCATTCATTGACTAAAGAAATATATATATCACATCACTAAAGAAATATATATACATTTCAGAAAACTTTCCTGTTTTCTAAAATTCAATATCTTTATTATTATAACTTCCTGATATTTCAATGCATTATAATTTTATGGTGAACTATTACCTGAAAATAAAACAGAATATTTTTTGAATTGGTAGTGTTTATTATAAGGTTATTTTGAAACATGTTGTTAATGATAAAACTAAAGAATGGATTTTCTTTATAGACTATTAAATGATTATATTTCAAATCAACAGACTGCATTCATACACTAAAATAGGATGAAAAATATAGTAGTCATCGAGACAATTGTCGAGTTTCTCAAGAAACAACAATAAAAATTTTCAAATCTAACACGGTATATCTTGTTTAATGTTTAATATAGTACGGAATGTTTCGTGAAGCATCAGCTATTTAAAAAAAAAAAAAAAAAAAACATGCAATACCTGACAATGAAACCAAATAAAAATCAAACATAACGCTATTACACGTTATGCAACAAAATTAATGAATATGAACGTCTATAAACCCTTTTTTCAACTTGGACCGAATCTCGCAACATCAACTAGATCTTACGCAATAAAATTAATACAAATTAGTGCTGATAAGTTCTTTGGAACAAAATGGCCAAATATCAACTAAACAACCAAAGAAAGCATTTACATTCTAGAGGATTTTTATTTACTCATTACATCTTCAAAAATTACTTACTCTCTTTATCGAATGACTTTCCATAGTAGTAAACATATTTTGTTACAGTTTCTACTTCGTGTCTGCGAAGTATTTCTTTAAATTCGCTCCAAGATTTCGCAAAATTCATTTTGCCTCTAAACACAAAGGTTCATACACGAGACCAAGGTTCTTTAATATACGGACGAGACGGACTTTGAAACTCGTAATCGATAAACCGGCCATTCCCCTATCGTTGACACAAGTCTTTCTATCGATGGGAAAAGAGAGACTCTAGGCCATCCGAAAAAGCGGCGACCGGCGTGTTTAACGTCGCTGTTAACCCGCGTTTTTTCAGTGCACTATTTAGATTTTTTTTTCAACAGCGGGAAATTATCTAAACATCTGTGGGCAGATAGAAAATTACTCATATGTTCATTTAACTCAAAAATTGTTTGATTTCGTTCAATGTTTTGGCAACAGTGTTGTGAGCAGTGGGAAAATTATATGAGATTGTTTGCAGTCTAAAAGAGAAATAATTTTTCTTTAAATTGTAGATGTGTAATTTATTTTATTCTTTTTTATTCTTTAATATGCATCTGAATGTATAAAGAAATGTACTTGAATCTTGTCATCATCAGTCCGCGAGAAAGCGTAATTTGTATTCGTTCGTTATAATTTTTGTGAAAGCTGAAAAGGGTCACAAATAAGAAGCAAAGAACGTGAGTATTTATACTTATGGTAGTGATATTTGCTAGGAATCATTGATGGATAACTGTAATTCGAAGAACGAATTAGAAGGTGATTCTGATGTAAAAATTGAATTTTGCGATGCAGATTCTTTGGAAGAGAATTCTGAATCTGCAAGCCAGTATTACGACTCTGAGTCTTGCGATAGCCCGTCTGGTAATGAAAATTCGTCTCTTCAACGCAGACGATATGGGGATGATGCATATGAAAGTGATGGCACTTTTGTCGAGCGTAGATATGGAAACCGTTCTCGAGATCCGCAAGCTGAGAGACCTTATTCCTGTCACCTATGTCCTAGTGCCTTTAGTATCAAAAGCAGACTTTTGACACATATAAAAATCCATACAGGTGATAAGCGTTATAAATGTGAGGTATGTGATAAAAGATTTGTCCAGTTGGGCCAGTTGAAGAATCACAAAGTTACCCACACAAATGAAAGACCTTTTGTATGTGTTACATGTGGTGCATCATTCAAAGACAAAAATTGTTGGAGCAGGCATCAGCGAATGCATTCAGGTTTTAAACCTCTAACATGTGATGAATGTAAAAAGTGTTTTAGAGATAAAACTGCATTAGAGAATCATAAACGAATTCACACAGGGGAAAAGCCATTTAAGTGTGATATATGTAATAAAAAATTTATGTCTAGGAGTTCTCTTAATTATCATTATAAGTACACTGAGAAAATGATTTATGAATGTAATGTATGCTCTGTTTCATTTAGTGGTAGAAAATCTCTGTTGGATCATGAAAAGACCCATGTGAAAAAATCATTTTTGTGTGATGCTTGCAATATAACTTTCTCAGAGTATTCCGAATTTGAAAAACATAAATTAATTCATACGACTAATGAAATTCATGTTTGTGATATATGCAATAAGTCATTCATGAGTGAGTCTAGTTTGGAGGTTCATTTAAAAATGCATACTAAGGAAAAACCACACAAGTGTAAAATTTGTCAGAAACAATTCGCTTTCACTAAAACACTCTTGAAGCATTACTTGGTTCACGATGATGAACAACGTTTTAAATGTAAACTGTGTCCCAAAACCTTTAAAGAGAGTTCTGCCTTGGAGAAACACATACAGCTTCATAAAGAAAAACGATATGCATGCGAGATGTGTGAGAAATCATTTGCTCGGAAAGGTTTCCTAAATATGCATATGCGTGTGCATAGTATTGACAATCCATATGTTTGTGATAAATGTCATAAAAAGTTTGCTTGTAAAAGTGCTTTAGAACAGCATGTGTTGGTTCATACCGGTGAAAAACCTTATGCATGTGACATTTGTCCCAAAAGATACAAGAGAAAATCTCTTCTTCGAAAGCATTCTCGTATTCATGAAGGTGAAAACATTCAATACAAAGTTGAGGAATAAGTTTTATCAACATGAATCACCAGGAAAGCCTTTAATAAGTGTATAAAAATATTACTAACTGTATCTTATGTGAGAGTTTGATTTCAAATTTTTTATTAGTGTAATCTTTTTATTTAACAGTATGAGATTCCTTGAAACCATATTATTAAACAGCAAGATTTATTTGTAGAATTTCTTATTATTACATTATCATTTAAAGGAGAAAAGCTTTTTGAAGCATGTAATTGCCTATTTCTTTATTTGTAAATGTTTTTTC